AAAGATAAAAAAACAATGACTATGAGGCTTACTTGTGGGAATATTGCAACCAACTCCTTTGTCTCAGAGTAGCCAGAGTAGTGGGAATATGTGTGAGAGGACTGTTGGTGGAAGTTGGGGATGAACCAGGATGGGCATAACTTTGGTACTTTTGCAATGACTATTTAACATAGATTTTTATCAAGTCTCATACCCCTAAAAAAATAGATAAGCCACTAGGCTAGCACACCCATATTTCCTGCCATCAGATTCCCTCCCATATTGCAGGTGTTCTATCTCTTCTCTTCTCATTTATATAAATTCTACTTTGTTTACTCTTCCTTTCCATTATTGTCTGTGAATTTTATTCTTCAAATTTGTGAGACAAGAATCCAGAAAGGAATTAGTGAACCAGAGAATTGAATTTCATCTTTAAACTCTGGTTTCATTTTGATGGGATTAATTCAAGTTCAGTTCTCATCAAATTTGAAAAAGGAATAGTTCTTAACAGAGATAGGGGAGAGTAGGGGGCAGAAGGAGTGGATAAGTATTATCCACTTATAAGTATATTGAACTCATGGTACAATGTTACAGTTATATATGAAGAATAAATTTTGGTCTTCTGTGGCACAGTAGAGTGACTATAGTTAACAATAATGCATTGCATATGTTAAGAAATGATGTAAGTTTAAGTTGATGGATATATTGATTACCTGATTTGCCCAGTATATACATGAATCAAAACATCATATCAAACCTCATAAATATGTAAAATTACAATGTATCAATCCAAAAATCAAAATAGTACAAATAAGCTCCTCAAGTTCCTTGCCCACAATTCTGGAAATGTTTCCCCATCTGTGAAAGGATAATAATAAATTGAAAATGCTTATTTAAAAGACAGCCTCAGAGGATTAAGTGGGTTAACAATTATCATCAATAAGATGATGGAAAAAAATGTTTCTTTATGATTCTAGAATTTTCTTTCTGTTTAGGTTAAGTTATAAATCCAGGGATATTTACATCATTGCAAAATAGGGATTTTATACATCAACTGAAACTAATTTGCATTAATACATTTATTTGGCAAGTTTTTTGAATGCCTGTTTGGTGCTAAGAACACTGTACACAACAGGAACCCAGCAGCAAAGAAGGCAGATGCTAACCTGGTCCTCGGTGAGTGAAGGAAATCATTGATCATTCAAAGAATGAATTTACAGGTGATTATCCTATTAAGGTTGCAATAAATCCTAAAATCAAAAATATGTGTCCCATTAGAAGTATACAACTAATCTAGTATATAGAATTATGGAATATCTAAGGAAGGTTTAATCGAAGCCTAAAAAGGAATTGCTAAGCAAAGAACAGTAAACAGAAATTTCTGTATTTGAAAAGCTGAAACTAAGCAAGTAATTATATGGTGGGATTTTGTTTTAACTCATAAACAGTTGTATGGGTCTGGCCTGTGGCATCATTTTCCCAACTTCCCCAAACTATAGAGCTAATTTCACCAAGATCTCAGAAATTCTTTTTCAACCGAGTGTGTCGGAGAGACAATGAGTTTAGGACATAAACAAGACCACCACTGAAATAATGTACTCTGAAAACTAAGCTGGTTAATAAAGGAAGATAAAAAATGTTGGGGCTTAGAGAAGAGGTTTTAGATGAAGTTTGAATATGCATGCAACACATTTTGAGAAGCATGGTGTGTTAGGTATTTTCATTAGACAATGTAAAAATGTAAAGTGAGTTTCAGCCTTCACGGAGCATACATAATAGGTGTTAGAAAGATATATAAGCAAATAAATAATGATGGTGGTTACTATTGGCACAAATAAATGAGCCCTTGCATAAAGTTTTTCTGAGCTGACTTATGGGCATTTCAGAAAGAAAAAAAAATAGTGAACACACAAACATGAATACACATACATAAGATTGCAGTTATAATATCAACTTTACAGTTAACTTCTTACTTCCAAGTAATTAAATGTGTTCATCACAATGAAATGCACTGAATTTTCTGTGGAGATTTAGGAAATAGGCAGGTATCCTAGGACAGTTTCCTAAGAGGAATAGCAATGGTTCACATCTGTCTACTCCTAATTACATGCTATACACCCACACCAAGATTTATTTAATATAAGATAGGTAGCAGAATACAACAGTCACTAGTATGGCAATATGTAAAAACGAGGATGTGCAACCGATGTGATTCTGCAATCTGTATACGGGGTAAAAATGGGAGTTCATAACCCACTTGAATCAAATGTATGAAATATGATATGTCAAGAGCTTTGTAATGTTTTGAACAACCAATAATAATAAAAAAAGAACATACAAAAAAAGATAAAAAGATAGTAAATATGACACATAAAAGAAAAAACATCCTCACTGGAATTATTTGCTTGAAGATTCAGGGAGCCACAGATGAATTGTGAATAGACATCAATTAAATGTAAATAAATGGAGATTCATGGGAGGCAGCTCTGTACATTTAAGTCTGCTATTCACTAAAATAACCCTAAAACAGGAAATTGTTTATGCATAACCTTGAAGACCTGGAATCACTTAAAAATGTCAATGAAAAAGTGACACAATAACATATTGTGAGAAACACGCTCACCGGTCTAAGCCCAAAGAATAGACTAAGATACACAAGGTTCAGGGAAAAGCAAGACTTGACTTGACTTTTTTTTTGTGTGTGTGTGTGTGTGTGTGTGTGCTGCAGATTAAACCTAGGGCTATGTACATGCGAGACAAGCACTCTGAGCTATATCCCCAGCTCTAAGGCTTTACTTTAATAATGCTTTTGCAAGATTGGGTGCCTGGTGGTTAGGGACACACAGATTGGATCCAACTAGCATTTTATCCCCTCTCTATGCAAGATCCCTTCCTGGCTCCTCATTGTCTGAGTACTGGTATGTGTGTGTGTGTGTGTGTGTGTGTGTGTGTGTACAATCTTTCTGGATGCTACATAGCTTTTACTGTCACCTTGATTATTTACAGAAACATACTTTTAGTTGTCCCCACTGCCCTTTGTATTTTGTAGCAGCACAGTCCCCTTGAGTTGAGTGTCCTTTGGCATAAACATAGTATACCTCCATTAATCATGTCCTCTTTATTCTCACCTCCTGTTTGTGAAAGGGCTGTGAGTTTTTACACTCTGGTGTTAACTGTTTGTAACTTTTCATTCTGCTCTCCTCTCAAGCTGCCTTTCTTACATCCCAAATCATGTTACATGTGAAGCTAAATATTGTATTCTCAAAAGGGACCACCAGACTTTATATTTCTCACTATATGACTTGTAAAATGCCCATTCTGGCTTTAATAGGGTGCATTTGAAGGAACAAAGACTTTGAAATGCTCTGAGAGAGACAGAAGTTACATTAGAGCTCAGTCAAACCCAATGCCATGATAAAGGTCAGACAGTGATGTTTATATCCAGCTGGATGACTAATAAACACCTTAGACTTAAATGTTCAATTTAAATGTTGAGTTAATGTTCTTGGAGGATGGTATCCTAGGAGAAATAAAGACAAGTCACATGTCTTAGGCATTAGCATTTCTATTTTTTTGATAGTACCATATAACACAAAGGAAGCCAGGAAAGAACCCTTTTTACAGAGGCAAGTAGTGAGTTTCCAGGTCAATTTTTGAGAGAAACTAATTTTGAGAAGTTTGAAAGATATTTGTGTGAGTAGAATCCCAGGAAGTAATCAGACTAAGACTGTCTGTTTTGAGGATTGGGGTCCCCTATAGCTTCATGACTATGGCATGCTTCGTGGCTAAGGAAGTTTCTGCACAAAGGCACAGAATGCCTGACTGCTAGAAAATACCTCTTCTCTAGGAAATGCCTGTCTGCTTTGGCAATGCCCTTCAGGAGAAGGCTCTGTATTAGAGTCTTATCAGCCTCCAACTTGATCTCAGGCACACAGCTCCTGAAAATAAGTAACTCTCTTGTTAGACAACTACAATATTTCACCAAGCTCTAGTGCTTCTGGACCTGCCTGTTAACAGTAACTTTAAACAATGGACTTTCTTGAAAACTACAAAGGGCTCCTAACATTGCACATTGCAACTATGGTATGTAACTAAGGAATAAGCTGCATAATGTTGATAACTCTGTAACCTGCCTAATGACAGGATGAACAATAATGTACTACTGATGTCAATGACCTAATGTAACCCATTGATATAAATAAATCTGGCAGCTTGGCTACTCTGCCATTCTGCCATCTTTCCTGCCTCTATATCTTGTCTCTGTGACTCTTTTTATTTTCCCTATATAAGACTTCAGAGAATCAGACTTGTGTTTGGATCCTATATTCATTAATTATATTTATATTAACATTGAAAGTCTCATTCTTCTCATCTGTAAACCAAATTAAGTGATATAATCATAATTTATTTAATTTAAAATGTTAATGTTTAAACAATATAATCAAATAGTTTTAAAATAAAGAAGAACTTTTCTTGGACCATGCAATTAAAGAAAGCAAGTATAAAAGATACACAATTCTATGCAAACTAAGATGGGCAAGGAAAAACTAAATCAAGTGAAGGAAATACCAAGACGTAATAATAACATATACTTCCTGGAACAATGAAGTTTGAGGCATCACATTGATATCTATGGTGGAAAGAATTCATAGCCACTTGATAAAGGAAGATTTTTGAGTTTAATTCAAAATCTGAGAAATGATAGGATGAGTTGTGTGTGGGGAAATATCTATCTTTCAAATATCTTCAAAGTCAGCAACAAGAATAATGTGAACCTTAATTTTGGTGTTTTTCCACATCTATCATCAGCTTTTCCACAAAAATGAAATGTAATTAATTTTAAAAAGTACATGATTTTCCAGAAGTTTTTTTTCCTCCACTTTCTACTTCCCTGTGTTTTTCACACGGGTAGAATGCTTACATTTCAAACTAGTAAAAAATATATCTTCAGTTTGTATATTTCTAAGTTATGAAAAATTTTAAAAAACTAAAGTAACCTAAATTTCTCCTTTGGTGTCCACTCACTGTGGCCTCTTCCAAGTGAAGAGAAGAATAAATTTCTCCTGGATCTGCTTGGTCTTCACGCCATAAACAACAGGATTTAGGGCAGGAGGGATGGCCACATAGAAGTTGGCAAATAGGATAAGGACATTCCGAGGGACACCGTGCCCAAAGCGATGAGCAAGGATGGAGAAGAAGGCAGGTGTGTAAAACATGAGGATAACACAGACATGGGAGCCACAGGTGCTCAGGGCCTTTTGGCGAGCACCCAGGGATGAGAGTTGAAAGACAGCACGGAGGATGAAGACATAGGACACAGCAATAAGGATGACATCTGAGATGACAGTCATGAGAGGTACAGAAAATCCATACCAAATGTTGACAGAGATGTCAGCAGAGGAAAGCCGAGCAACACCTATGTGCTCACAGTATGTATGTGGGATGATGCGGGTCCTGCAAAATGGTAACCGTTTTAGAAGAAACACATCTGGCAGGATGACGGAAAAGCTCCTCACAACAATGCTCACCATAAGCTTGATGATCATCTGTGGAGTCAAGACGGTGTTGTATCTCAAGGGCAAGCAGATGGCCACATAGCGATCAAAATGCCATGGCCAATAGAATGGCTGAGTCCGCTACAAAGCTGAAGTGCAGGAAAAACATCTGTGTGAGACAACCAGAGAAGGTTATTTCTTGGGAGCCAAGCCAGAGGTTACTGAGCAGTTTGGGCACTGTGGCAGTGGACAAGATGAGATCCGTGCTGGCCAGCATGGACAGGAAGAAGAACATGGGCTCATGGAGGCTGCGCTCAATTGCAATGAGGTAGAGCAGGATGCAGTTGCCCACAATGGCCACAAGGTAGATGACACAGAAGGGAATCCCAATCCAGAGGTGGAAGTGCTCCAGGCCAGGTATTCCAAGAAGGATGAAGGAACTTGGGTTGTAACAACTTGAGTTATACATGGTCTCTTCAGTCTGGGATCCACTGGTTCTTGAGCCTAAGGACAAACCAGCTGTCAGTGTGAATTATGAAATCTGCCAATTCTACTGTGGAGCTGAAAATAGTTGGTTACTGCAACTGTCACATTCAGGGTTCCTACATTAAAAGAATGGCTATCCCTGGTGAGCTGGCACATGTGGAATTAAGTAGCCACAGCACTTTCCCCTTTCCATTAGCCCTGGTTCATTTCTTTATATACTTATGGAATATGGATTTTTATACACTTATGGAACCATATAAAATGATTATTTTTGTAAGTTAGAAATTTTAATTTATTCCACTTAATGATTTTCTTTCTCAATGCAGATTGTTTAGAATAAGCCTAGTTCAAATGGTGTGTGGGGGCGTGCATGAATGAAAGAGGGCTGAGGAAAGACAGGACTGGGTATTTGAGGGATAAAAATATTTAAAATATTATACTAAATAAATATGAACTGGCTGGAGTGGGGAGCATTCTATAGAGGTAATATGATATTTGTAAAGTAAATACAAATTTTATAGAGGAAATATGATGTTTAAGGCAATGAATTTGGCAAAATAAACTGAAGAGTTTGAATAATGCAGGATAAAAATAATAAAAAGTGAAAGAAAAGGAGTATTTTAGTGCCAGGGTGGTGTGGGAACATTTATTGCACAGTGATGGAAGTATGGTTTATATTAGGAATTATCCTTACTGAGATGTGAATATTATTGAATGCATCCAATAGAGAATGCACAAGGATAATTGAACATTCCCCTGCTTAGAGAGCAGTGAGTTCAGAAGATAATTTAGGACTTCAGAGGCACTATCCAAAACCTTAGAGGCTGCTCCCCCTTGTCGATAGGGAAGACAGCTCAAGCTATCAGTGAGTCTGACAGTGCCTCCAAAACTGAAAACAGCCAGCGCAATCTGTCACAGGCAAAACTGAACACAGCAGACTTTCCCCTGCTGGAGATGAATTAAAGAATAAAAAAGAAGTTTTGCCCCAAAGTTCTCCTTTCTGGACTAACAGAGCTTGAACATCATCTTTGGGTATCTACAACTTTGCATTAAATAGCGTCAAGCCTGCAGGAGTGGCTTTTGCATTGAAAATCCCCATCAAACTTTAACTCCATTTCTGTGATGCATTTGATAGAGTTCTTCATATGAACTATATACCAATCACTGCAAGGGAAGGAATGGGAATTGGGCACAGTGATACACCAGAACCAAACAGAACATGAGCCACACTTAGAATAAGTTTTGAAGAGGTTGGGCTTTTACCGTCCCTGACAAATTTGTAGTCATTAAAACAGCTTTTTAGGATAGGAATTGGACCTTGCAAGCAAGTCACAACAGCTGCATTTTCATGTGTTTGGCAGGGATCTCTTGTCATCTCTTCTAGGTCCCAGTCAAAGCTTTACAGAAGGAGGACTCTCTCTTAGTTTTGATTTATTTGAGTCCTCAGTCAGCCCAAGCAAACATACTACATCTACCTAGGAGAAATGTTACTAGTTCCCATTGCCCAAGGCAGCCAGCACCCTATAAGAATGCCTGCTCTAAGTTCCATTTTCAGGCTGATGCAGACTGAACTCCTATAGGGACTGAGCTTCTATAGAGACTGTATAGCAACAAGGTCCCCATGAAATTCTACTTAAAATGATGAAGACCACATGGTCTTCTGTGGCTCAAAAGCAGATTATCCAAGATAGTCTCCAAATGTCTCTGGAATTTTGGAGAGGACAGAGTTCATCTACATGTAGTAGATTTGTTCCCCTTCCCGAAACAGGAAGCATATTTCCTCAGTGTCACAAGGAAATCATTTCAGAAAGAGAAAACCCAACCATCATTACAACTACAAAGGGAGGCAAAACAAAACATCCAAACCAAGGTCTTCTGCTTCAATCAAAACCTATTCTGATCTCACTTATTTTGCCCAAAGAGCCCTTTCCTTCTGTAATCCTGGCTTCATCTCCAGCTATATTTGCTGGTCTGCAATGAAGTCAATAGTCTCCTCAGGCTCTATCTGCTTTTCATAGAATCATTGGTGCCAAAAGAACCGCTTTCTCCCAGGGCCAGATCCTTCAGGGCTCAGCCCATACTTGGACTCTGAGTAAAGGGCATCTGCATTGCCTAATGAAATGACAGAGCCATTGAAGGCCTTTCTCTTCACTAAGTAACTGAAGTTTTTAACTCACCAGACTCTGAATTCTGTCTCTGAATGAACAGGGTTAGTAGGAAGTATCTATTTAGAAGAAACTGAGTATAATTTCAAACTGGGAAAGATTGTAGTAAGAGGTAAATGAAACATTTATACATTTTTGCTCATATTCCCAGAGGGTCTTCAGATTAGATGGGCCACTCCACTCCCATTTCCTCATAAGAGACAAAAGCCATCATATTAAGTAATTATTTTGAAATGGAATGTCACGAGGGGTTATAATAGCCTCTGGATATTGAACCCCTAGGAGATTCAGCTCTAGATAAATCAGACAACATCAGTTGAGGCAAAATTCTCAGAAGTCTAGAATATTCTTGTTATTATTCAGTATTCTTTCAGTTGTCTTTTTCTGTAAACTTACATCAATACTATTCCAATACAACTAAGGCTTTCTAAATTACTGATATGATCTGCAATTTTGTCTTCAAAATTTTCTTACCCATTCTCAGTACTTTGCCTAATTGGAAACTAAATATTTTAAACCTATGAACCACAATAACCTTTTTTCTCTTTATAAGTTAATTATTTCAGACATTTTGTTATAGTGATATAAGTTAACTAAACCACATCTAATTACAAATAAAAGTACTGGAATTACAAGTCTTAAAAAAAAAAGAAAAAGAAAAATATGTATTAGTCCACAACCCTGTAAATATTTTCTATGCACTGGGTGTGGTGGTTCCTGTAATCCTAGCAACTCCAGAGGCTGAGGAAATGAGAATTGCAAGTTTAAGGCTGGCCTCAGCAATGTAGTGAGACCTTAAGCAACTTAATGAGATCCTGTCTCAAGTTAAAAATTTTAAAACTTAAAATGAAAAGGACTATTGATGTGGCTCAATGATTAAATGCCCCCGAGTTCAATCTTTGGTACCAAAAACAGTCACACAAACAAACAAAAATCTAGGAATAGAACCACTGCATGATCTAGCCATCCGACTCCTCAGTATATATCCAAAATAACTAAAATAAGAATACTATAGGGATATAGCTACATCAATGTTTGTCTCTGCATAATTCTCAATAGCCAAGCTAAGGAATAAAACTAGGTACACTTTAAAAAATGAATGGATAAAGAAAATGTAATATATATATATATATATATATATATATATATATATATATATATATACACACACACACACACACACACAATGAGGTATTACTCAGCCATAAAGAAGAACGGCATTGTGTGATTTGCTGGTAAATGGATAGAACTGTATACTATCATGCTGGGTAAAATAAGCCAGAATCAAAAAGTCAAAGGTTGAATGTTTTCTCTGATATCAGAATCTAGTACAAAATAAGTGGGAGAGAGAGAGAAACAAGAGGGGGAAGGGAAACATCGTGTTCCATCAAAACAGAAGAAAGATTATTGGACAAGATGAAAGGGTTCACAGGGAAGGAAAGTGGACAGGATAAGGAAAGAACAGTGGAATGGATCTGACCTAACTTTCCTATGAATATATATAAATATACCACGGTGGGTCTGTTACCATCATGTATGTCTAAAACAAAACAAAAATTTAAATACCCCATTTGATTCAAATGTATGACATGTCAAGATCATTGTATTGTCATGTGCAACTAATAAAAAAATTTAAATAGCAGAAAGAACAGTAGAGAGAGGAAAAGGACAAGGGACAGGGAGGAGGGGAAGGAAAGGAGAAGTACAGGGGGCTGAATTAGAGCAAATTATATTTCATGTTCTCATAATTCTGTCAAGATGAATCCTAATGGCACGAAAAAATAATAACACCCAATAAACAAAAATATAAGTATCAGGTCTTTAGACCAAAGTAACTCCATTTTGAAAATCAGCACCCGCCATCTTAAGAAGCCCACCCAGGCATGACCTTCTAGATAAGCCTGCCCCACAGAGTACCTAACTACTAAAACCACCATAAAGATGTCATGCAGCCATCACAGGACCAGACGGGTTATTTTTTAACTACGTCATTGTACTTGACTGTAGTGTAAGAACTTCATTCAGCAGGCGGCTGCACCTTACAAAAGGGCAACCTGGCAGATATTCTCTGTCAATAAATCTTTGCTTGAGTCATGGATATTTGCGACAGCTACCATAACAAAAAGTTTTAAAAAAATAAAATAAAGGCTAAAGCATAAGGAAATACCACTTCCCTATTTTGCTTTCCTCAGGAGAGGTGCACTAGTTGCTGGATGGATCAGCACTCATTGGGCTCCTGAACAAAGGGTCCTGCCAATTTATGGATCTGGAGAGAAAGGGGAAGCTCAAGGGAAAGAGCTAGAAAGCTGAGAAGCACTGAGTACTGAGACCTACTAGAGAAGTGTCTTCAAGCTTTCCCAGAAAAGAGACCTTCAAACTCACATGGCTAGGAGGACCTCCTAGCATGAGAATGTGTCCTATCAAGGAGGGCAAGGCACAGGCAAGGGCAGAGGGAACAGCACCCAGGTGAGTCACACGAGCTGCCTATTAGGACCTGGACACGTTTTCAGAGGTGAAGGGAGAGATTGAAAAGTTGGGCAGAGCAGTGTCCAAGGTTGTCCTCAGCCAGGACTTCTGGAGGCTGCGCAGAGCAAGCTGTTTGAGCTGAGCAGGGCCTTCCCAGGTGTTCCTCCCCATGTTTTCCTGGAAGTGCCCAGAGACATGTGGATGCTGCTGTTGCTACTGTTGCTTTTGATCCTGGCTTGGCTGCTGTGTTCTGTCTTCAGGGCAGTGGCCTAGTGGCAGGGCACTCCAGAGGTTTCTTGAAACAGACCCTACACTGTGACACTCATGCTTACTGGGGAGATTTCCTCTGCAG